GGAAGATGAGAACTGGTGACTTGGTAGTACAACTTTAGTACGCGGAGCAATCTGTGAAGCTGGAAGCTGAGAACTGGCGACTTTGTAGTACAACTTTAGTGCGCGGAGCAATCTGTGGAGCTGGAAGCTGAGAACTGGCAACCTTGTAGTGCAACTTTAGTAGCTGGAAGAGTGTCCCACATGAGTGTCCCGCAACAGTGTTGTCTCGCAAGAGTGTCCCTTAAGAGTGTCCTACAAGAGTGTCCCACAAGAGTGTCCTACAAGAGTGTCCTACAAGAGTGTCCCACAAGAGTGTCCCACAAGAGTGTCCTACAAGACTGTCCCACAAGAGTGTCCTACAAGAGTGTCCCACAAGAGTGTCCGCGAAGAGTGTCCGACAAGAGTATCCCACAAGAGTGTCCCACAAGAGTGTCCTACAAGAGTGTCCCACAAGAGTGTCCCACAAGAGTGTCCTATAAGAGTGTCCCACAAGAGTGTTCCACAAGAGTGTCCCACAAGAGTTTCCTACAAGAGTGTCACACAAGAGTGTCCCACAAGAGTGTCCCACAAGAGTGTCCTACAAGAGTGTCCTACAAGAGTGTCCCACAAGAGTGTCCTACAAGAGTGTCCCACAAGAGTTTCCTACACGAGTGTCCCACCAGAGTGTCCTACAAGAGTGTCCCACAAGAGTGTCCCACAAGAGTGTCCTATAAGAGTGTCCCATAAGAGTGTCCTACAAGAGTTTCCTACAAGAGTGACCCACAAGAGTGTCCTACAAGAGTGTCCTACAAGAGTGTCCCACAAGAGTGTCCCACGAGAGTGTCCTCTAAGAGTGTCCCACAAGAGTGTCCTACAAGAGTGTCCCACATGAGTGTCCCACAAGAGTTTCCTACAAGAGTGTCACACAAGAGTGTCCCACAAGAGTGTCCCACAAGAGTGTCCTACCAGAGTGTCCTACAAGAGTGTCCCACAAGAGTGTCTTGTAAGAGTGACCCACAAGAGTGTTCTACAAGAGTGTCTCACAAGAGAGTGTCTCAAAGTGCGTGGCCACCAGCATGACATCTTTTTGGACGCTCATGTAGCCGGGATCTCCTTCCAAATGTCTTTTCACAATGCGAATGCATGGTGGAAGATGTGCCTCTCGATTCTGTCTTGCAGCGCTTGCGTTGCTCCTCTCCAGGTCTCGTTCTAAGGCTTCTTTGTCCTTCTTGAGCCTTTGGATCACAGTTTGCGCAACTGGTTGCCTGCTTCTCAGTTCATTGATTTGGGCCTTCATATCCTTCATAATACGATCCTGGTTCTTAATCTCCATCCTAAGTTGTTCGGTCCTCTCGACGGTCTGCTTGTGCTCCTGCTTGAGATATGCAATGAGCCGCTCTTCGCATTCCTCAGCGTCGCTGCGTGCAGATCGCCAGAGGTTCTCCAGTGCTTCTGGGCTCATCTCATCAAGAGAAGGTTCATTGAGCTCCGGGGAATCGGGAAAGACGTGATTCCTCGCATACCCTGCCGCGGTCTCTGTGGCACCCGCCGCGCAAAAGGGCTCTGTGAAAGGATCTTCGACACCATCATTCCATGTGTTCATGCTGAGTAGAGTCCTGCTTCTAGGGAAATCTGTGCCGCTTGAGCCTCAGCATCCTTCTTGCGGCAAAACAACTGCTCCACTCAAGAGTGTCCCAGAAGAGTGTCCGACAAGAGTGTCCTACAAGAGTGTCACTTGGACATATGTAGTTTTTCGAACGTGTTTGCATTTGGGTTCGTGGGTTCCATCTTGTTTTTTTCAGTGGTTCTTTTTTCCTTTTCCTGCACCTTCGCAAGTTTGGGTCATGGCAGCTTCACCTCCAGCCATGAGAAGGCTTGTTTTTTCATCAATACTTCAAGTAGCTTTTGTGGTTTATCTATAATCTATGACCCTCCACCTGAAAGGGTTAAATACAGTCAATGATTGTGATAGCTCATGGCAATACTGAAAGTTCTGGTGCATGCTTCGATGGAACCTTGCCAATATCATGACATGAACCACTTTGGACGGGTCACTTATTTGATGCAAGCTGAGAACACTGGCAGGTTTTCACCCCCCCGTTCTGAGTCTATAAAGTCCACAAAGCGGAAAGACTTCTGGCCTTAAGGAATCCTAGGGAATGTAATCAAGAATAACGCTCAAAGCAGACTTCCTTGGACCACATGGGTTGGATTCAGGTGCAGAGGAGTTGGGACTCATGAACTTGCCCTATGCCACTGAGCAGCCTTGCTTTGAGCGGCCACGCTTTGGTCGGCCACGCTCGCAGTCGATGTAGAGGGGTGCAGTGGAGGTGAAACAACGGTGAACCAGGCAGGTGGAAAGAGCATACTCAGCAGATGCTCAGCAGTGGTTGGAGAGCCTTTTTCATATCAGCGCATTCAGAACCCAGGGAAGGTCCAGATGGTCTAGAAAGGCTTTGGAGAGGCCATATATATATATATATGTACACACATTATAACCGCAAGTATATAACTATTTGGGGACATTGAAAGGCAGCAAACCAGGAGATGACAGGAAGGCTCGGTTTAAATTGCAGTGGCATGCACGATAACATGGGGGGACCAGGCCTTGTAAGGGGTACCTTGTAAGCTTTTCAAACCGTTGTTCTTGATCTTGTTCTTATTTGCTAACCTAAGAATGGAAGGACGGCTCGGTTCAATAAGAATAATTTTTGAATAGTGACAGTGCGTTTTCAGGGGGTGGTTGTAAACAGCTTTGCGATTACCACTTTTGCAGGGTATTTATCAATTATCACCTGAGAGTACCTGTGAAAAGATTGCATGACAAAGGACTTGAAAGGTGTGGTTCACGTAAAGCTTTCTTGCACGCAGAAGTGTTTCACAGAGTTCACTTCATTGAAGCGCAGTCAGTAGCTTCCGGAATGCAATGCATGTTCTTTGCCCGTGCTGCAGATTTGCGACGTACACGTGCCAAATTTTCGGATTTCAGCGGAAGAGACGGGTCAAACTCGCATCCTCCTTTCCTTAAGCCTTATGTATGTAGCTTGTGTCAAACAGCTCTGAAGGAGCTTTGAGTCACTTGAAGGATGCAAGGTCTTGAGCTTCAAAATCTAAATGATATCCGATTCATTATGTCGAGCAATATGTGAGTGGTCTTCAAAGACTCCCGTCAAACAAGCAACGCTTTAGAACATTTTTCTTGCGTCCCGCAATATGGTATTTGCAGGCACTGCAGGCTGTTTACATGTTTGTTTGTCAACAGGCATTTGTGTTGTGTGCATACAAGCAGAACTCCATGGCCACTGCCATTGCCCATTTCAAGCCAGATTTCAGCTTAGTTTCCCGGTGCTCGTGGCTGAGTCTGGTTCTTCGAAGGCTGTGCCAGGCGGGCACTTGAACTTTTGATATGGGTCGTCATTTGTTGCGCATTGTAGCCGACATTGCGATCCTTTTTCCATTTGTGCTATATGCAGCTTGTCAACTTCAACGTATCACTCAAGAGATGTGAGATTTGTGGCTTTACAAGTTACAAGTCCCCTGATGTCGCGTGTGCTTCGAAGGGTCATGGAGAGTCAGGGCCAAAGCCTCAGGTGGATGTGGGAAACTACTTACCGAGAGGAGGTCACGCTTGAACACCCACAAAAACGGTGTTTCATCTTCTTCAAACTGCACTTAGAAGTTCGCAGTTTGTGACTTGTGAAATGAGAGACAACGGTTGCGAAGGGAGATTCCACTTTCGAATCAAGGCACGCGACGGCGTGGTGGGGTGCGCCGCAGACGGGGCTAATCAACAAGTCCTTCACCAAAATTAGATACCTTGAGTTTGCAAGAGCAGTACCTCTATGTGTCATGTGTTGACACTTTGTGCAGGTTCCTCAGCGAGTTACCTGGTCACAATTCAAAGCCTCCAAGTCGGCTGCAGCCAAGGCTGTTTTATTTTGTTCCAGTATGTGGACCTTGGGATTACATGATACACATCGAAATGGCAAGTGTTTCACAGAGCGAGAGAGAGAGAGAGAGAGAGAGCGAGCGAGAGAGGGAGAGAGAGAGAGAGGAACTTTCACAGAGAGCAGTCTCTCTCAGCTACATGGTTTTCGATACTTTTGTGATTGTCTAGAGGCTTCTTTCAACCTTCTTGACCTGTCACTCACAGGCTGAGATCGAAGGTCGCTGGGAACTTCTGATTGCTGATGGAGAGGCAGTTTAGGGCTCTAGTAGAGTTGTGCTATTTTGCGAGATTCCAAAGATGTACGAAGACAATGAATGGATGCTGATGATGCCAGTGCTTCTCCCTGTTTGCCAAGTAGGCCAAAAACCTTCTCAGCATGCGCCAGCGGCTTGGGCTGGGACCTGAGGGCATTTCGCGACTGGAAGCATATCAGTTGCAGTCATATCATACTCATGCCAAACTTATTCATCGCATGCGCGAGTTCATCCGTTGTGACCGTTGCGGTGTTCTTACTAGAAAGTTGCATTAACATTCATTAACATATCAAAGTAATTCAACAGGAGCAAGGAGGCTACTAGTAGCTGCTGACCGCAAGGGCATCGCTACTAGTAACAAAGAAGAACATAGGATTCGTTGAAGTCAAACACGAATCGGATTCAATTAGTTTCACTGAGGCCTTCCACAGATCCAGGGCTGGTGCACCTCCGGGAGGAGCGGACACTCTGCAGTGTTGTGTGTTGGTGTTGTTAGTGTGCCACTTGTGTGGTGCACAGGTCTCTCAAATTGGCTGAAGTGCGCACAGCACTGCTTGTATTCAGAGCGTTTAGTTGGTCGAGAAATTTGGACTTCCTTGACTAAAGTCCCCAAGAGCATCCATCAGGAAATCGACAAGATGATCTCGGAGAGGGCAGAGCTGCTTGAGAAAGGCTGTTTCACAATCTGACAAGAATGAACCCCTTAATTCCCTTAATCAGTTCATGAGGAAGACAGGGGCAACCTTCTTTTTCAGCCCAAGAGACCAGTTTCAACATTGGCAGGCTCAACAGGTTCAGTGGCAACATCTCAGGCCGCAGCTTTCTCTTTCACAGCTGGAACATTTGTAACGGCGCTGCCGTGTTTTCTCCTTCTTCTTTTTCTTTGCCTTCTTTACATGTACATACAGTAGATAGATTCTCATTATTTCTATTGTAGCGGAATCAGGGTAGGTCGTGGAGTCGTGGGGTGGGTAGGCATCTAAGGTAGGAATCCTGAGCTTATTCGTTGGAAACTAGCAGACAAGCCGAAGATCCCTTGCTGTACTATATAGTACGAAGTGGTTCCTAGGTTTTGAGGGAACGGATCATTGCGATCAACCAAGCCAACCTCTTTGGGGGAGCCGCCTTGCACGTAGACTTTGCAGCTGTATTTACTCTGCAGGCAACGGGGAGGAAGAATCCCAATGACGAAGGTACAGCACGGTTGATTTGAGGCACAATTCAGGTCACATTTCAACAGATGCCGCTCTTATCTCGCAGCACACTTTATTGCCAACAAACAGGGAAGTGCTGTGGCCAAGAGATCTGCTGCAGGACCGAGGTAAACAGTAAACATACAAGGTGTTCACTTGGCGCAAAGTGCAGAGAATTGCTGAGTGCGTGCATTGTCAAGTTGTTTCTAGAGACTGTGCCTGTTTGTTCTTTGGCAGCTGCGTGTCCATTCTTTGTGACACGATTGCACCTTCATTCTTCCGGGCTGTGAGTCATACTTAAACCAAGGGAGCCACGAGTTTTGGTGTATTCCCACTGTACTTCCCTCGGAGTCAGCTTGGGGATCCTTCCGCCAGGCCACAGCAAGCTCCAAGATCTGGCCTTATGGGACTGAAGTCTATTGATGGATGCAGCCAGTATTCCTTCCACACCTTTTCTGTCCACCAAAAGCAGTTTGGAGGCCATTGCTATTAGGTTGGAGGTCATCGCCATTAGGTTGGAGGCCATTGATATTAGGTTGGAGGCCATTCCTATTAGGTTGGAGGCCATTGCTATTATATAGGTTGGAGGCATTGCTTTAAAAAAATCAAACATGTCAAGAGCTGAAGTGACTTGGATGACGTTGTGGGTGACTGCATTGAGCAATTTTCACGAGGCCTCACTGTGCACTGCTGCGGCGGTTGGGGTGCTGCCGCTCAGGTGATTCGAAAAAGGCACCTACCCACTGTGTGACTAGCACACTATTCAGCTACTCATGGGGCACATCTCCTTTCTAAGAGTAGGAGATGCTCCCAGCAGAACCGTTGTGCATTTCTCATGTTGTTATGACATCCCGAGGCTGGACAATGCACGTCTTCCATCACCATTCCTGATCTTCCTCGGCCTCTTCTTGGGCAAGGCATAGCCTGCCTGGCGGATCAGACCGATACAATGTGCAATTACAGAAACGGGATCTAGGAGTTCTGATTCTACACCGCAAACAGAACAGGGAGTTCAAGCCCGAGTCACAGTTAATTGCTCCGACAAGGCAGAATATGAGACAGATATTTGCAGCAGCTGTTTTACAGCTACCAGGATGCTCCTGACGAAGAAGTCCTCGGTGTGATCAAGGACACAAGGGCTCCAAGTCAACTATTCTCATTGTATGCCGCTTCGTCTTCGTGTGTGAGGAACTGTCTATGTATGTCTTCCATGTGCCAAGTTTGAGGAGTGGTGTGGTCTTTCCCCTTTGAAGCGCCAAGTCCAAGGCTTACACAGTCTGGAGGACTTGAACAGTTTGGTAAGAGGGCATGCTGTAGATATAACTCATGTGCCATAGCTATAATTCACTTTCGCTAGTTCTGCGCTGGCTATCCATAGTACTTCTTACCGCCAGAATGATAGGCGGCCCAGGCTTGTGAAAAGTATCAGGGGAGCAGTGAGGTGAATGTGGAGCGACAGTTTTTCGGGTCTTTTGTCTCGCACGTTCATTGAATCCTTATGTAGAGGCCTTACTTTAGTCCAAGCACTCAGCAAAGTGTTCGATGATGTAAGACGGACGGTAGGAACTTTCTTGATCAGTGACAGTGAAGCTCCGTGCACTTCGTGGCTCAGAAAAGAACTTTTTGAAAGGCACCCGATCATGTTTGACAAGAAGGGCCCCGGTGCCTTCGAATGGAGAGAGAAAAGTTATTGGTAAGTGAGACGAGGCTTCCTGTTGGCACGTTTGATTCCTGTTGGCATGATTGACTCGCATGCTTGAAAAAGTCAGATTCTAGTCACCTTCAAGCACTAGCACTTCTCACTGCGCCTAATGCGATTCTGGAGCGATTCAGATTCAGAAGATGGCTGCGAAACTCACTGCTGGTCACAAGGTGTGCTATCGTGGAAGTGCTTTGATGCTGCACCAGCAAGAGAAGCGTCAGGTGCAGACGTCCCCTGCGTGCTGCTTGTGCTGCTGATTGGGCTAGGAGCAGCATTTGCAGTCGTGTTATCTGCGCTGCTAGCTTGAAGGGAGATGAGATCTTGGTCATTTGCAGGATCCCACAGCAGCAAAAATGCATTAGCGCCCGCTGCACCATTCCTGGAAGAAGAGGCTTGTATTTGTTTTAAAATACAGTACATTGTTGTTGCTATTTTCCCCAAACAGTTTACTGTTGGGGTTCTCTCTTAGGAAAAAAGAGCTGGCCACACTGTCTGGCCGCGGCCCTGAACTCCGTGTCCGGGCTTTGTGTCTGGGCTCTGTGTCCAGGTCTTGTCCTCCTCTTGTCCTTCTCTTGTCCTCGTCTTGTCCACCTCTTGTCCTTCCCTTGCCCTCCTTGGCCGCCCCTGAACACTGGATCCGGAGCTTGTCCTTCTCTTGTTCTGCTCTTGAAAGACAACTCCAGAAAGCCACCCCAGAAGCCGACCCTTGTCCTCCTGTTGTCCTCTTCTTGCGCTGGCCACAGTGTCAGGCCGCGCCGGCGAGCCCTGTCCGGATGTCCTTCTCTTCTCCTCATGTCACAAGTCTTTTCGGTCCTGTCCTCCCCATGTTCTGCTATTGCCTTCTTGTTGTCCTTCTTCAGGTGTTCATCGGCTGTGGCTCCCAGCCTTTCTCCAGCCGTACTCCTCCCATCATCTTGTTGGTTTCTTTTGTCCTCTCTTCCTCTTCTCCTCTTGTTCTCCATTCTCCTCTTGGTGTGCTCCCCTCATGTTGCCCGGTTGTCCTTTTGGCACTGTCCGGTCAGAGCTTGGCCTTCTTTTGTCCTTGGCGTGTTCATACCTTTTTCCTTCCCTCATCCTTTTGTCCTCTCTTGTCCTCCTCATGTCCTCTTTTGGTCTTTCTGTTGTCCTGCTGTTTACGTCGCTGTCCAAGGCAGGGGCTGGGGCTGCGGCCGCCCACCACAACAACAATTATTGCGGCATATTTTTTTGATGGCCGTGGAGGTCATTACTGTACTTTTGAAGACAAGAGCTATGGTTGCCAGCCACTGCAACGGCCCTTCTCAATCATTTATGAATCAGAACTTTGAACGACAACAACTCCAGAGGAATTGTAGAGTTGCCAGACACACCAAGCATGCGGTTTCCTTGCGAGGCAAAGTTCGGCCTGTCCTCAGTTGTCTCAGAGATTGTCCTCATTTATATATATAGTACCGATCGGATTTCAATGAGACTCCGGTGTTATAGTTGTTTTTCTTTGAGCCTCCCAGAAACTTGATGTAGGTGATAATACCACCTGTAACTTGTGAAGTGAAGTCCCTTCATTGCCTTCGCAGGGCATGTCGCCATTGGTGCAACTGGGCAAATGATGGATTTCTTGATACAAATGGTGAGATTCGGTGTGCTTTGATATACTTGATTGGTATTGAACGCACTGAAAACCTAATGAACACCTAAAATGTATTTGGACAGATGTTTTCTGCACTTCAGCTCATGCCAGCATGAAATGCTTAGCGTTTTTGACTTGTCCTCCCAGTCCCAACAAGCTGAGACTTGGCCATCGAGGTACTCCTTTGTGGCTGCGTCACCACAGTTGGGGGCCATCGTTGCGCCGGTGCTCTGGGGCGTGGCATACACATGGTCGGAGCGTGTGGGAACCTGGCCGATGGGGGCATTCGAAGAGGAAACCGCAGAATGAACGCAAGAAGAAAAAGAAGGTCTGGCAAAGAGACACATGATTCATTCAAACTGTATAATATGGTGATATGCGGAGATGTGAATATCCATGAGTCCATGAGCGTTGGCTTTTGATTCTCTCTAAGGAGGTTTGTCTGCACAGCTTGCAAGGGGGCTTGTTGTCTCGTCGCCACCCAGGCCTCGTACAGGTCTTGGTGCCGCTAGGCGATTTCCTGGGCCAGCTTGTGTTAGCGCTGGGCATTGCCATGGTGACTTGAAATGCATCGGCACATTGTGGTTGGAGTACTTCAGCAATGGCCTCCAACCTAATAACGATGGCCTCCAACCTAGTAGTTTCTTGCTACTAGTAGTAATGCCCTAGGCCCTAGTAGCGTCCTTGCTACCAGTAGCGATGCCCTTGTTACTAATAGCCATGGCCTCCAACCCAGTTTGGGGCTCCACTTTGACAAACTGTCCAAGGTGGACTCCGACAGTCCAGCCCTCGAGCTACTTGGCACAAAGCCGGCTTCCCGACCAGAAGGGGCACGGACATGCATCAAGCCGCTCCAAAGTTGTCAGTTCAATACTTAGGTCACAAGCGGTTTTGACTGCTGGTCTCTTGATTTTTAGCCTCTCAGCTGCATTCATGCAGCTGCACACACAGGCTTGAAAATGGATGCTTCAGGCATTGACCATAAGAACGGCTTGTTGTGTTGCTTTTTGAGATAAAAAGTGAACAATTATCCCCAAGGTGTTGCCCGGGCGGGTGTTGGGGTGGTGCAGCATGCTGCGATGGCGCGCCTGCTGCACGGGAAGAGGCAAGATCAAGCTTCAGAAAGACCATTTTGATTGACGCAAAGGGCATCGCCACTAGGAGCAAGGACGCTACTAGTATGTTTGTGTAGCATTCAGTTTCCGCATTTGCCTCCATATGCCGAAAGCTTCGGAAGTTTACGTATATACTTTGGATTCGTTCTTTGGCTCAAGCCTGATAACATGCAGCCAGCTTGGCGAGTCTATTTTAGCAGAAAAGGTGATTTGCATTCCGCTGAACTGAAGCATCAAGAGACCGCACATGAATGACAGTAGTTGAGAACTTGGGCGAAGAGGGCAATATCGAGGGGATCAGACAAGGAACACAAGCTGTCAAAGCAAAGTGCAACAGAGATCGGATGACACAATGGATGAGGAATTGCTCAGTGTTGCAATGGTTGGGTGCAGAGGCTGGGCAAACTTTGGGAGGAGCAAGGACGCTACAGGTAGCTTCGGGCCTTACTACTAATAGCAAGGACACTACTAGCAACAAAGGGCATCGCTACTAGGAGCAAGAATGCTACTTTGCATGATACTTTGTTTCAGGCACCGGCAAGACCTCATTCGCACACAGCGCGAGTGCACGCTCCAAGGCGATCCGTCGCTCAAAAGGGACCGTCTCAATATCAGAACTTTTGCATCTAGATGTCATCGAGAAACATTGCATTCAGATTGAATTTAGACACTCAGACACTCTTGATTGTGCTTTGCTTTGCTTGAAACTCAAAGGTTTGAGTTACCAAACTTGGTTTTGCTGTGTCCATCCTTCCCAGGAAGGTCCATGGCCGTCTGCCCCGACACTAAGCACCCAGCGCCTTAGCGGAATCCCTCAACTTCAGATTTTGGCTTTCATCTATATACTACTCTTTACCATCAATATCATTCAATATCCACCAATCAACCTTGATTTAAACAAAAACAGTTTCTACTTTCTCTGGTGAACGACTCCAGGACTCTCATCCTTTCAAATCCGATCCGGTATCAGGTGCCACAAAGTATGGCTTGAGACTGGTCTACGTGTGGACCTTTGGGAGACACCCACCTGGGAATTGACTTTGGATCCTGAGATGCTTGGCAAATCTCAGAGGGTGAGTACGAGTTGCCTCTGGGCTTCCTAGTCATGTCATAGGCTTCCTCCACAGAGGTTTGATGAGTATAGATTGATTAGAGAAACACTTCAAAGACCATAGGACAATCTACTGCAACTGTGCTCAATCTCAGGAGCACATTACAGTCCCAGCTGGTATGCTTGAGAGAAGTCATACGAAAACTGTGAGGGAGACAAGTTTCTTGCTGCTAAGGGCTCACTTTGATCGTGGATGTGACGCAGTAATGTTTATCATGGACTGTACCAGGCACTTGGGTGCGGTGCTGCTTATTTTCGATGCATTCACAACAGCACAAGGACATGAACATGAACCAAGACTCAACGCTTCCAAACTGTTATGTGTGCTTTGGGCTTGTATATTCAATTCTTGCAGGCTGTAGTTTGGTCCTTCTTCTGTACCCTTGCCAAGGCGAGCAACTGTGGATGAAGTTTTACTCCACTGGCTGCATGTGGCACGGTACCATTGTGCTGAAAAGGCACGGAAAGTCAGACATATTAGACGCCACATGTTCAAAGGCTAAGGATGATCCCGACGTTATCGACCTTCCTGTGTGTTGCTACTTCAGCTTCTCCTACTGCCTCTACACTTGAGTTTGTTGAGTGTCCTTCAGCTTTTGACCAAGCATCAGGTTATTCTACTGGGCTTGAGGGCTCCTCCAACGACCATGAGAACCTGCTTTACTTCCTCGATAATACCTCCACAACGTTTTTGACAAGAGCCCCACCGACAACTTGCTCACAGCAAAGCCATGAATGAGTTTAGAATAAGACAATGCAACTTCCGACCCAGCATTCATGTAAGCTCACGAATCTGTGACGTTTGCGTTTACCGACGTCCAGGCACCTTTCCTTTTTATTGGGGCCAAGAGTGACAGGGACCCGCAGGCCCGAGCTGATTGCCCACATGAGCTGCCACGAGAAGTCAATTTTGCACTTTTGTGCACAACTGAAAAAACCAACTTGCCACCACCCGCTTTATCCATGGTAAATCCTATTGCAAGGGAGGCGTATGGAGGCGTTTCTTTAAACCTCATCCAGAAGGTCTTGGCAGTTGCCAACTTGTCAGGAGGCGAAGGCTTTAGTGTCACGGCTGGAGAAGTGGCAGCTGCCGGTCATGATAGGCAGGCTTTTTTTTTGCATGTCTCGAGTATGAACCTAAAGCTTTGGAATGCACAGCTATTGTGTATATATATATATGTATAGAGCGACGACAGCTGAGACATTTTGGCATTGCAATGACCCTTCAGTCAGACCTGTAAATCTTCACTTGGAAGACGTAGTTTGAGCTTGGAGCTTTGCTTGAGGCAGCTGCTTGGAGCCCAGCTTTGCAGTGGAGGCACTGGAGCAGCTGCATTATTTGACCGAACATGAGGGGCGGCCAAAGATGCCGCTTCTGGCACGCTTGCCACCCTTGGAGCTGCCTGAGGCCGGCCTTCCTTGTGAGCCTAATGTAATTTCGCACTGTGTTCACCATGCAACCAGTTTAAAATACTTCGAAAGCACCTCAGACCCAGTCAAAGCATGACCTTTTTTTGAGAGCCGACCCAGGGATTCTTTTTCTGATACTTGGCTTTGGCCGACAGGTGGTGTCCGCACAAGCAGTGCCCGCGCTGGGTCCACCTGCAAGACCTTCCGGTGGTTCTCTTCCAACTGAGTCTGCCCTTCCGTCATCGTTGTCTGCACCGTCCGCAACATCTGCTCCATCTGCACTTGCTTCGTTTACGCCATCCACTCATCCCCGCTCCAAGCAGAAGGAGTGGAGTGTTGGGTAGTCTCAAAAGAATTGGATTGATTGGCAAGAGCCAAGGGTGAAATGGTAGTAGGTTCCCAAACAGTTGCTTGACTTTTCCAATTATGGGCTCTCCAGCATGCCTGACAGTTTTGCCAGAGTTTGCCTACTTAGCTACTCTTTGAGAATGACAGTGACAGCACAGTCCTTTACAAAGCGTTCTCATGAGGACAAGTGCGGACAAATTGTGGTTCCCATCGAGATGTTTCCCAGCCTCGCAAACCTGCAGGTTGCTAAAGTGGAGGTTACGCCGAAGTGGCAAATTGCAGCAGGCTGTGGAAATCTAGGATGATCGAGACGATTCATATCAGCTTTGAACATTCATGGAAGCAGGATATAGCAGGATGAAGCGCGAGGGTGTGATAAGATGTTGTGATGGCAGTCAACATGTGATGGCCATAAATGCAGCAGGTGATCTCACCTACTTCGAGCGGTTGGATGCAGAGCCTTCCCGTGCCGGGCGCAGTCCTTCCGTCTATGCAAAGTGGAAAGATATGCCGGTGGTTGCGAAGCGTGTGGTGACACAGCTGCAAAACAGGGGTGGTGGACGCTGTGCACTAAGTGGGTCTACAAACACCCAAAGCTAGAGATCCCAGCGACGTTGTTTTGCCCTGCTGACAACAATGGGAAATCGAGGAGAAGAAGCTTCTGGATCGACACAGCCAGAAGCACTTCGAACGCTTGCTCTCCGAGTTAAGTGCTAATCAATGCCGCTTGGTGTTGAAAGCTGCCTGCCATTCAGAACTGCTGAATGTTTCCATACCGACATCCATTTAGTCATTGCTGGAGGTCCGCACTTAGCAAAGTTCTATGGTGCGACCATGAATGAAGACCCGGTGGCCCTGGTCATGGAGTACATGCCAGGTGGAGACCTGGAACAATTCCTGAGGACGGAAGTGCAGCTGCATGTGGAATCGCAGCGTGCAAAGCAGTTTCAGGAGTAAACGTTTGGACAACCATCGCCCGTGGATACCTCCAAGGCTGGCATTCCCACTTGAGCATAGACCCCGACACTTTTACAACACAAGCAGCACAGAGGTCAATCTCTTTCACCAACCACGGCTTCATTCAGCGTTACAAAGATGAGCCAACATCGCACTTGCAACAAGGTTAAGATGGTAACGAATCTGACACATTGGCGCGGCCAGGGACTTGCTCTTCAGCTGGGCTATTAGCTGCTCTAGTGCTATGGCTTATCTGGCCAACTTGAAGGTGGCGCACGGCAACATCAGGCCATCAAACCTCCTTCTTTGCATCTTGGTGAAGATGAGTGTGGACTGGGATCATGTTGGAACTGGTGGTGAAACCGGGCTTGAGTTTCCAGGGTGCTACCTGAGATCCTTTGAGCTGCATATGCCTATGACAAATGTTACTGTGCTCACACCAGGGGCTGACTACATCAGGGACTGACTTGTCTCATCACGTTTGGAGACCATCGAGCCATCGAGGCACCAGCTTGGCACTGAGACTCTCCCCGTCCGGAGCTTTGTCGCCTGTGGCCCATCGACACCAGGTGAGATGGGCTTTACAGGTCCAGGGAACACCCAAAGGCATGACATGTTTCTATGGCTTTCCATATATATATATATATACTGTGAAACGGAGGATGGACATGCACCGGACATTCGATTGTACGCAGATCCAAGCTCGTGATGCCACACACGTGGCTCAAGCAATGGAGCACATCGCACTGCAGAAAAGCCGTGTCACGACGCTTTTTGCTTTCGTTGTTGGGTTGCCACTTTTTTCTCATTGGCAGCGGAGCTTAGACTCCCAGGGTTCCTTTCGGCTGGTTAGCTCAGGCCTTCCCTTTGGTATCCCCTCAATTTTTCAAGGTGACCTTTCATTTTACCGCCACTTTCGACTCCGAGCCATGTCGATTGTGGACTGCCTCAAATGGCAGACCTTCACTGCGGCCCAAGAGGACGTTTGGTCCAATGAAGCCAAGAGCGGGGTGCCGCGCTATGATGGAGAAGTGAGCAAATTGGCCGAGTACCAGTTCAGGGCGAGGCTGCGTCAGGCCAGAGAGAAGGTGATGGATGAGCAGGAGCTGAAAAAGCAAGGACCACTTGCTTTGAGGCTGACTGACGGCCTAAGAGGCCCTGCACTACAAGATCCCTGTGGACAAGCTCGCTTCTGAAGACGGCACCAGCACGCTGCGAAAGCCTTGCAGAGTGCACTACAGCCCAGGTCCAAGCAGGAGGCCAGAGACCTGTACCAGATTGGTGCACAGCAGGGTGGCGTGTTGTCTTGACAGGTTGGAGAGAGGGCATGCTACAACATGATGCTCGACATGGACTCCACTCTCCAGCTACCTGAGCCCATACTCGCCGAGCAGACCTTGCAGAACGCTGGCATGAGCCACGACCGCCAGCTGCTGATCCGTGTTGCCGTGCATGGTGACATCACCATGACCAAGATTTGTGAAGAACTGGCAAAGGCTATGGCAAGGATCGAGGACGGTCTTCTTGGCACCGTGCATATCATGCCATGCCCAATGAGGAGTACTACGACTGTGAGGACTGGGGCAACAATTCTCAGTCGTTGAACGGATTTGATGATGTTGAGGCCTATGGAGATGAGCGCCAGGCCTCAGGACGGCCTTGATGAGTATGACACAGAGGCCATGGAGTATGCGGCAGAGATCATGCAAGCTGAGGCCGAAGCCTTCTATGTCAGGGAGAGAGCCGCCCACACAAAGGCTTCTCTGAAGGTGCTCGCCAATTCCATCTACATGGACATCTCACGATGGAGGAGCGCAAGGCCAGAGTTCAAGCTATGAAAGCCCGCACGACCTGCAGGAAATGTAGACAATCCGGTCACTGGGCAAATGATCCTCAATGCCCAAAGTCCTAGACCACCGGTGTTGCAGGGACCAATTCCAAGCCCCGCAACACCTGGACCATCTTCACCAGGTCATGCCACCGGAGATGATTTCAGCATCTTGCAGTCCGATGCGAGAAAGGCGCACTTGGACACCTTCATGGCCATGATTGATGTGCTGAGTGGCGAGACGCTTACAATGAGAGGTGGTATGAGTTCTATCCTGGACATCCTCTCTACACCCACGAGACGAGGATCGTGCGCTTTTGCAGAAATGGCGGTGGAAGGCAGAACGTGGCCTTCCCCGATTACCAGTTCAGCTCACTACAAGCCCCTCGAGCCGCGGCATCTTCGCAAGGACCAGCTGATACATTGAGGCCTTGTACGCGCATGCACACCGCTCGTCAAGGGTCCAATGCCTATCTCAGAGTCTTGAAGTGTAAGGATTGCAACAAGTACCTGGAGTACACCAAGCTCGACAAGCCCCAGAAGATGGAGGTCGATTCTGAGAAGAAGACTGGAGTCAAGTGTGAACATGAAGGGAAAGATTGGCGAGGAAGCACTGGCGCTACATGGCAATGGAAGTGCAAGTCTTGTGGGCACACCGAGAAGGGCAACCGATCTGATGGCAAGCTGTGGGAAGCCAAGTCTGCAGCAGTTGTGTCTGGATCCACTACAGCCGGACAAGCCGACGAGGTCTTGGAGCTTTTCTCAATGGCTGTTGGACTTCAGACAGAAGGAGATCGGCGGAGACCTGAATGTTGAGACTCCGGACAAGATCTATGACAAGTGCAAGAATACAGCTCTTGGACGATCATCTGGCAGTTCTTCAACCTATTCACCACCCGCCAGAAGCTCAGAGCCGGTCAACATTGAGAAGCTGCAAGGCACATACTTCACCACAGGTGTGCGCAAAGGACGGTCATTTAAAGAGATCTATGGCTATGAGAAGAGCTATGTCAAGACCATCGTTGCCAAGTTCAAGAATGACAACATCAAGGACCGTTGTCTGGTTCAGTTCGCCAAGTATTGCAGTGCCCGACAAGAGCGTGAGGAAAGTGATGCCTACATGGTCCAAGATGAAGACCGCAGCTCTGAAGAGATCTATGTCATCCTTGACACCGGCTGCAACAACGCTTGCCATGGATCCCGATGGATGGAGAAATTTGTGAACTACATGGGCATGCAGCCGGAGCTTCAGCCGGCAGAAGGCCGCTTCCGCGGTGTCGGCGGGAAAGTTGAGGTAGCAGGCAAGCGCACCATTCCTGTGTGCATGAAGACACTGGGTGAAGAACTTGTTCCAGGCAACATTACCTCAATTGAGCTGGAAACTCCAGCGCAGATTTGTGCTGGACATGTCGGAGTATACTGCCTACAGCAAGACCTTGGACAAGGAGCTGGAGATCATCAACTTGAACGGTCTTCCGGAGATCAAGCTTCACCCAGGAGATGGGACTGTCCGAGGCATTGCTATGACCTTGGCAGACTATGAGATTGAGCCTGAGGAGGTCACTGACGAGACCTATGGCATGAATGAAGAGGCGAGTGACGACAATGTCACAGAAGCAGAAGATGACAATGTCACAGATGACGTGACAGAGAATGAGACCGACTCCAATGGCGCATCTTCTGAAGCGCGACATCTACCACTACAGGAGCATCGAGCCAAGATCTTGAGCAGAGGTCAGAGGAGGGATGCTAGAGGATCGCTCGATGAGATGGAGAAAGAAGACTGCGCACTCTGGAGCACACTTCAGGGAGGCACTCGACGACCCCGCAAGATGTTGCCGCGGGGACGCAAGACCTTCTTGAAGGAGCTGTTTGCTGGAGCAGCAACATTGAGCTTGATGGCTGCCACTATGGGACTACGCATCAGCGCTCAAATTGATGTCGTCAGCCAACAGAGACAGGCTCTGGCAGGAGATAGAAGATGAAGATCCTTACCTCCTGAGCATGTCGCCACTATGTGCACCCTGGTCACCGTGGCAACGTTTGAACGTGGCCAAGAGTGATAAGGTATACGCAAAGAGCATGGAAAACCGCAAGAAGTGGTATCCGGTGGTGGCTTGCCTCACCGTTTGGTGGAGCGAAGATTGGAGTTGGGACGAGAAGTCTTGCTTGAGAACCCTTGGCCTTCATTGCTTGGGGAACTGAAGTGCTTCACCGATATGATGGACAAGCAGCTGAGGAACCAAGTCACCGGTGAGCTGCCGGAAGTGGTAAGGTTGGATCAATGCATGTATGGCTTGGTTGGCGATTCAGGTACGCCACAGCAGAAAGCAACAGGAATGCTCTTGTCCTCAGCCAAGATGAAAGAAAGACTTCGTGCCGGGTGCGATGGACAACGTCCTCATGAACACCTTGAGGGCAACAAGACCAAGAATGCTTTTTGCAAGGCCATCATCCATGGTGCCTTGGATGAGATGAAAGCTCAGATCACACAGCGTGCCTTTCCAGCAGAACACGAGATTGAGGCCAACGAGGGCATGGACACCCTGGACGGCATTCAAGATTTGGACGATGTGGCTGAGCAAGTTCACAAAAGACGAAGAGTGGACTTGAATGCCCTGGACATGGAGGAGGACTATGAGCAAAGCCATGATCCCAATCTATATGAGATACTCCACGAGAAAGAGAAAGCAAGAAAGTCTCAATGGCTGAAGATTAGCCGTGAGAAGAGGATTGCCATCCGTCGACTACGTCAAATGATGGGGCATTGCAGCAACCAAGCATTGGTGAGGATGCTTCGACCCTCGCTATGTGAGAAAGGTGTGATTGAAGCAGCGCAACATTGCAGGTGCCAGAGCTGTGATGAGATCAAAAGTGATGAAAGACCAAAGACGGTCAGGCCCAGCAATCCATACCACCAAGTGAAGTTCAATGATGAACTGGCTGCTGATGTTTTTGAGATTGTCGATGCCAAGGGTGCCAGACACGGCGTACTGTCTATGGTGGACATGGCGACGCGCTACCACGTCGCAGTCCGAGTTGCTGCTGGTGGAACTCCACCGTCAAAGGTGTGCCATCAACATGAGTTGGCTTTCATGGGCCGGAGCTCCTCGCGCCTTCACTTGTGACCAAGGAGTACACAACCGTGGTCGAGTAGCCGCCTTGCTTCAATCGCAAGGCACAGGGCGCCGCTGAGAGGCACGGAGGATTGCTGAAGGAGATGCTCAAACGCGCAGTACATGATCGACGGCTGTTTGGAGCTTCGGTGATCTCTGCACTATGTTCCGAATGCGCTCAGGCGAAGAATGTCTTGATCAACAACGCAAGGATTTTCTCCTGCCCAGTGGGTACTTGGCCATACCCCCGAGGATTTGTCTTCTCTGGCATCACAGGACCCGGACAATCATCTTGGAGTACATCAAGGCCTAGTTGACGCTGAAGAAAAGACGCCCCAAGAGGAGTTCACGTTGCAACTGCAAAAGAGATCTACATGCAAGTTGATGCTTCTCAGCGCATTCGCAAACCTCTTCCTCGCAAGGCAGTGCCAATCAGAGGCCCGTATCGAACGGGCGATTTGGTGTGTTTCAGCAAGCAAGGAAAAGGGTATGGACCTGCCCGTGTTCTCACCAATGAGGGCAAGAGTTCATTGTGGCTGGTGCATGGAGGAGTCACCGTTTTGGTGTCTGAGACGTCATGCAGACCCGCCTCAACACAGGAGATCATGAGGTGATCGTGGAGACCAGACCAGAAGTTGAAACCCCTTTTCAATTGGAGCCTTCCAGTCTCCTCCACCAGGTCTTGAGCCTGATCCTTCCGGCGTGAGCAGCACGAGCAGCCTTACATATCAGCCCGAAACTGAAGTCAGCCCACAAGCGGAACCGACGAGGAGAACCAGACAGAAACTCCTCTGACTCAGGCACTCCGCCGGAATCCAGACATCCTTGATGGCAGCTTCATGCGACGGAGCCATAACGCAGCAAGCTATGTCTGGGAGGAGAGCGTCTGCCCAGCGCCGTTGATAGCTTTCTTGATGAGCCGACAGCGCCGCAAAGTGAAGAAGAAGGTTCAGAGAACCCAGAAAACAGGCGCTGGCCGCGAGCTACAGTTTGAGAAGGAGAACCCGCAGATGCAGGCCAAGTTGATCGAAACCAGGACAAAGGAGTGGAGCAACTAGACAAAACACACTGATGGCAAACGGCTTTCTGATGAACATGCAGTTGCAGCAGCTCCGGAAAGACATTCCTGGACTGCGTGTGATTCCCACACGCTTGGTGGACGTGAACAAGGCAGAACCCAATGAGCCAGATCAGTTGAAGAGCGGCCTTGTTGTCAGAAGCGACTTGGAAGATGCCTCAAAAATGCGGACAGACAGTCTGACTTGTTCCATGGCCATGATGTCGCTGAGCCTGATCCTTTCAGCATGGTGGGACAGCGACATGTGGACTGGAGACATTTCAGCTGCATTTCTACAAGGTTCCAAGCTAGATCGCGCCTTGTCTATGCCTCGAGGTGGAATCCCCGGCGAACCTGAAGGCAGGTACTACATGGTCAGCTCCACGGTATATGGGACAAAGGATGCCCCAAGAGGTTGGCGCAAGAACTTGCATGCATCTTTGCTGGAGCAAGGTTTCTCGCCAGTGCCACATGAAGCAGCAGCCTACAGTTTGAGGACTCCAGAAGGAGAGCTTGCAGGCTTGGTCGTTGTCCACGTTGACGATTTGCGGTGGACAGGCGGTGAGTTGATTGAAAGCAAGATGCAGGCGATTTGCCAAAAGTACAAGTTCGGCAAGTTGCACTCAAATCAATCGCCAGCCTTTTGTCTTGCACTGTGTGCAAGCCGGGTTGCCCAACATGTTCGTACAGTGAGTGGCAGTCAGTGTACGGGTTGAGGTTGAAGGAGTTCTGAGCTTCCACCTGTCCCTTCTGTAGGTTGCGATCATGATCGTTCCACAACCCGTGCAGTACGAACCTCATGTGTTCACACTCTTCCACGCCGTAGATCATGCTCATGGTCTCCGCCTGGAGTGTTGACCTGCACACCCTTTTGATGCGTGTGCTGTGCCAACCCAGCAAAAACAAATGCCCTTGATGGGTGCGCCGAAAAGAACGGTGAGCCAAACACACCAAGCGGCCACTCTGACTTCTCAAACCAAGTCGCTTGCCAGAACCACTTGTGTCAGCATCGTTGGCAAATGATGCATCTTGGGATAGCTGATGCTCTTGTTCTTTGAAGCTCTGGCCACTTTCACAATGTTCTTCGCGAAGATGGCGTCAGAGTATATGGCCTGGGAGACATTAGACTGCAAGTAGCTGACTGCGTATGACAAGTCGGGTCGACAGACCCTCAACTGCTCCTTGATCTGGTCAGGAGCTCTTGCATTCTTCATCTTCTTCTGTTCTGGTGAGAGGTAGATGGGCTTCGCGCCATCAACCAAGCTTGGACAGCTGACGCGCACTCCAGCTGAGTCCTTCTTCACCTCACGGCCACAATACCTGAACTCATTCTTTGAGGGAGAGCTGATCGGAGATCCACTTCTGACAGATCACTTGCCTTAGCGCGAATGTCGCGCCAGCCGATAGCTTGACCAAGGCCATGCGGCCTGGAGGCCTTGAAAAGGTCATGGAAGGAGCTGTGTACGATCTCAGTCCAAAAGAAAAGTATTATTGTGAAACGGAGGATGGACATGCGCCGAACATTCGATCGTACGCAGATCCAAGCTCGTGATGCCACACACGTGGCTCAAGCAATGGAGCGCATCGCACTGCAGAAAAGCCGTGTCACGACGCTTTTTGCTTTCGTTGTTGGGTTGCCAATTTCTCAATACTGTATATATGTTTATACATACATGTTTTGTGACGCCAACCTTGCCAGTGTTTCCTTGAACGCACATGTCACCACCAGGTGGATGCTAAAAGCCTTGATAGCTGCCTCTACTCTGCGCCCGAGGAGAGCCGACACGCTTAAGTCACGGGATACTGGGCACACTGTGACCAGGGGACTCCAGGCGGTTCTGCAGAGTGTATCAAAATCCTTCAGCTTGCTGTGCTTTCTTCCAGATGTTGAAGAAGCTAGATGGGGAGACTCCAGCAGTTGATGAGGACTGTGCTTGCCTTGAAACCGCTGTTGGCGCCGGCAGTGACACTTCTTTTGCATTGATTTACTTGCTGTCCCGCTAGGAACTGTGCATCAAAGCGGACGTTTTTGCACTGGGGCTGGTTCTATGGTTTATGTGCACAGGAGCTTCGCTGATGTGTGTGTGTGTGGAACCCTTGGAGTCACAGGGGACCTTTTTGGTCTTTTAATTGGCAGGGGGCCACCGAATTGCCAGAGGAGCGGTGGCCAATGAAGACCTGCTCTGGGACCCGTGTAAACGTACCTGCCAAACTGGTTACTTCTTGTTCTCGCTGTGGTTTGCTTTCATGGTGGTTCATGTGGTTCTGTTACTAACCGTAACTCGCATTTTGTGTTTTGAGTCTTGCTGGCCACCCTACTAGTGATGGCCTCCAACCTTGAGGTCTTGCTGCCGTGAGTCTTGCTTTGCATGAAGCCAACCATGGTAATGACCTCCAACCTGTTGCGATGACCTCCTACCTAGATGCGCTGGCCTCCAACCTTGAGGTAATGGCCTCCAACCTACTCTGACTTACTTTAGCCTGGTGCCTTAGGCTTTCACTTTGGCTGGCGCGTGGCAAGCCGCAAGTCCTTTCCGTATGCAATATCTCTGGCGGGCCTCGTGCTAGGCCTCGGCCCTACTATAGGTCTTGCTGCTGTGAGTCTTGTTTTGCATGCAACCATGGCCTGCAACCGGTTGCGATGACCTACCTAGCTGGCCTCCAACCTTGAGGTACTGGCCTCCAACCTACTCTGACTCTAGCCTGGTACTTTAGGTTTCGCCGGTTTCGCTTAGGCTGGTGTGTGGCAATCCGCAAGTCCTTTCCGTACGCAATATCTCGAGTGTGTGACCCGCTAGAAACACGCGGGTTTTGTTTGGAATGCTGATGCAGCAGAGCGGGGAGTCCAGGCAGTTGGAGTTGTCCCTGGACCAACAAAAACGGACCCACAACCGGTGAAACAATAAGGACGCTTTCTTGTGTACCAGCATTTTGTAGATGTTGCCGAGATGGCAAGCGGCTGAGCCAAGAACCTGCACATAAACGTGTGCTTGCAAAGATGTTAGCTGTTCATGTTGAATTTTACCGACAACGTCGTTGCTTCAACCACGTCATATTCTTAGGAGGTCCCTGGCTACCCGACCACTGGAAAACTCCACTTCACTCCTACCATACTGAGTGTGCGATCCATTGGAGCGTGTCAGTACTAGTGAGATATACAGCAAAGCCATGCCGCGGAAAGGAGCCCGACCCTTGCAGCATTTGGACAATGACGGCATGCACAAGCCGTCGGATCACGTGGTCAAGGCTAGGCCTCTTCTTCATTTCAAGGCGAAGATATACCTGCCCTGGCCGTTTTACACACCCCAGGAGCAAAACACAAGACGGACACTGAACTGCTTCCATTGAAGGCTTTCAAGGATGGGCGAAGACCTCGACCAAGATTGGCAGATGCTTGGAAGGGTTTTGATGAGACTGATGTTCTTATGCCCAGTCTCCAACATGTGACTTTTTCCAAGGATGTTTCTCAGGGACTCCAAATGCAGGAGCTCATCCGAAAGGCCAGGCTCATTCTTGTGTAATCCCAGAACTGACTTTTAGACACACATTGGGAGAGCGAGGCATTTTGTTTTCAGTGCCAGCCACTTGTTATGGTCATTTACGAGCCAGGCTACAGGTGACTTGTCAGTTGGACATTATAAGCGAGCAATGGTACATCCCTCAACCCTTTTTCCCACTATGCTTGCCTTAGATATTGAACCAAAATATGCGTGACTGCTCCTGACAGGAAGGGATTGAATAAGGTATCGAATGAGCCGCACAAACGTGTTGATTATCCCTCTCAAGGCCTGGAGCGATGAGCCTGCAGAGCGCCCGAGCCCAGCCGAAATGGTGGAGGAATTGAAGAAGATTCAGGCCGTGTCGGTGATGTAGTGGAATTGGCTTGAAAGAGGAAGGAACCGCAACAAACATTTCCTTTCCCATCGGATTCAATCTCATCTCTGAGAATTGATAGAGAATGTCGATGGAGAGACCTACGGACCTACTTTGCTGAAATTAGTCATGGCTGCATGCACGGGCCACAATTATCTCCTTCTTGAGCGAACCTGGAATGGAAGCTACTTCTTCAACACTACAACTGACCCAAATTCCAATCCCAAATATCTGGGAAGTGCGGATGGGTGCAGGCATGGTACCACAAAAGCTTGCAATCAGAAAGCGAGAGACTAAATAGAATCGAAGAACCAAGGTGAAGACTAATTCCTTTAAGAGGACCATACTTTGATTGCACACCTATTGATCCTTTTGCATGCATTAGATCAGCGGTTTAAGATTATCCGAGTCGATGAGTCGATCTCCTACTTTGGATGTAGCACCCAGGCATCGCCTGGGAGCCAATGCTGCTGTACGATGTGAAGCCTTCGCCGTTTGGAATCCTTTTGCTTGGCCGCATAGGTATAGACCATTATGGACGGAATAATCATTTCGAAGTAGGCAGGGAGGCCAGGCCAACAACATGTACAAAGCTGAGATTCCCTTGCCTTTCTGAGAGGTGTTGGGAGACGTGCAGATGCGCTTGACTCATATCGCAATCCTGGCCCTTGATGTGTACATACTAACCCTCCTTGCATGAAATTCTGAATTCTGTGCTGTGATGGACATCCTCCATCCCAAAAGCATGGGGCTTGTGTTGCAAAAGGGGGCTTGTCTGCATCTGCCATGTCTCACGTTAACACCAGAGATTGAGACTGAAGAGAGGATGCATTAGGATACTGCACTTGCTTTTGATGCCTCTGATTCTCATCTACTCCACTGTTCAAGTCAAACCGTTTGATTTGCTTCCAAAGATGCGCGTGGGCAGGCTAATGGTTGGCTTTGTGGCCATGATCTTTTTTGGACACTTGGTGGTTGCAGCTTGCAACTGGTCCGTACCAAGGGCCGCTTGGCAGTCACAGAGCTTCTATGTTCTGCGGAGTTGAGAATTCCTACCATGCCGCTAGGATAACAATTTGGGTTCCCTTCAAATTTGCAACACAACAAAGGGCGGGGAGTGCACACCCACACAAACACACACACACACACATCCGCAAGATTTGGTAGGACGAACGTCTCACTGATTTATATATTTACAGTATATATTTGTGAAGCTTGCATAGCTAGAGCTGCAGGTACTGCGTTTTGGAATCTTGACACTGCAGCTCACTTTGCTGCTTCCAAATGTCGTCTCTGTCGCTGCTGGCGCCGTGTTATCTGCCAGCTGGAGCCTCTTGCCAGCCCGTATGCATTCACCGCAACTTGGCTTTAGCCGCAGCTGTTTTTGGACCAAGCATGGTGATTTCAAGTGTCTCCAAGGGGGTGGAAGGCTTTGGAGGTCCCCATGTCTTTGTGATGGATGAGAATCCATCGGTATAGTACTCTGGGAGACACCTCAAACGTCCAACAAACGTTGCATGTTTCAGCAGCGACAAGGCCCCGGACACTGAGCCCCGATCCCAGTGTGCTCAGCTTGCCGCTCCTGGAAGAGGAACCCGTCTCGCCCAGCTCAGCTCTGAGAGTTTTTCTGTCTTGTGGAACTCAGAATAGGCACGGCAACTTGAGACTAAATCTTACTTGTTTCTAGTAGCTTCTTGTTACTACTAGTAAGGCACCAGTTCCTAGTAGCGTGGCACTTGTTTCTAGTTCCATTCTGTCGAGAGGGCATGGACGACTTCAGACTTAGCATTAGCAGTAAAGCAATCCCAGTGTTGTTTTGGATCCATCTCTCGCACAGCTATCGCCCGACTTAATTCATCGTGAAGATACACAGGCAGACGCAGAGTCAACATATTTTCAAGCACTTTGTCAGCTTGATACACCGTGTACACCGTTACACCGTTTACACTGTTTAAACCGTTTACACCGATACACCGAGTTTACACCGGTTACACCGACAACAGCGTCACCAGCGTAAACAGCGTAATCAGCGTATAGCCAGCATAACCAGCGTAAGCAGCATAACCGGCGTAACCAGCGCGACCGCAGCCACCCTGGTAAGTGCCAGCGTACCAGCGCACAATCGTTCGCGGACACGCTTTGCCATGTCGCTCGATGTTTTGTGTCGGCTGACTGTTCCTTCTGCGATGACAACAGTGATGCGTTTCATGCGCAACGAGGTCCTGCAAAGGAAGGTCATTGTGCCATGTCTGTGGCTTGGACGAATGCGAGAGTGACTTTTTGCATCTCTCTTCAGCATGTGAGATTGTTAGATTTCTTGCGGGTTTCGGTATAGTGTAGGCTGCTTGCGGCATTGGTTCTGAACTTGACTTGTTGTAAATGTATAGTATATATTTTATCGAACTTGCTCACAGAGCTGATGAAGGAGCACGCAACATGAGTAGATGGGTTGCTTTGACCTGAAAACATGTCTTGGACAGGGCTTCTCGACATCTATAGACGTAGCTCCAGCTCCGATGGGTGATTTCCCAAAAATTTATGAACTCCAAGCAAAGAAACTTCTCTCAAAGCATTTTGCGAGGTGAGCTACGACTGCTGCCCCTTTTGTGGGGATGAGGAGTTGCAATCAAGGAAAGCAATTTGGCTTTTGGGAATTTGGAGGGCTCTACTGTTGGGCTTGCTGCATGCATTCCAGTGCCCTGGATGAAAAAGATTCGCTGGCATATTCCATTTCCAGAAGCAAGATGAGAGAGCGCTCACTCTGGGCTGTTTCGGTGTGATTGAACTTGGTCTCAGAATGGCAAACTCCCAACTTCGAGCTTCAAAGCTGTTGGTTTCTTTCTTTCAAGATGATGGGAGTTTTGGTGAGTTTTGCAAGCGATATGATTGGATCTGCAATTTTGGCAGCTTTGGGTTGTCCTGAAAGTCGGGTACTAATCCCGAAGGATTTGGCTGCTGACTTTCAGAGTACTAGAGCTGTATGAGATCAGATCTCAGGTCTGTCACAAATGACTTCCTGGTCGGCTTGGGCAAGACCCATATGGAAGCACCTTGGAAACGTACATCAAAGGTTTGAAACATGTCGTTTCAAGATTTTGATGTAGTAGCAAGTGCATCGCTCCTAGTAAAACGTGCATCGCTACTCGTAGCTAGAAGCCACTAGTACTAGTAGCGCCCTTTGCCCCTTTTGCCCACCTGTGATTTGTGGTAGCGAATCTGCGAAGCCTGAAAGGCGGGATCTGTGGTAGCCATGAACCAACTGCTTGCTATGTGCGGGGCCAAGCGGAGCACATGCCATTGAAAGAGTTACTTTTGGCCACTTTGGCCTTGCGAATATCAACAAAAACTTATACTGTAAATGAAAGCATTGGGATTTTGTCTTTCCTGAGAACATGTGCTAGAAGCAACGTATATAGATTGCCTTAGATGTTGACTCAGAATTTGCAACATGCCTATATCCGTGCTGGCGTTGTAGGGGACTCATGCCGCTGGTTGCTTTTGGCGGCTACTTTGTGGGTCTCCGTTGCACTTTGGTGGCCAAGTTCTGAGTTTCCAAGCACGGACTGAGGCAGTGCAAGCAGTCAATACTTCTGATTTCTGACTCTCACCTTTGAAATCTTTTGAACAGTGTCCTTGGAACCAACAGATTCAGAGTTCGCCGAGTTCGCTGATTAAACGCACATCGGCATTGTTGTTCATGCCGACGGCTCCTTTGGACAAACACTACTGCATAAGGTCATCTCCTTGCTGCCCTTTTTGGGTGCATTGTTGTTGGCTTTTTTGCCAACAGTGCCCTTAGTTTTGGAAGCTGGATGCTTGATGCACTTGAGCTTAAACACGTTGGGACTTGCATACCAAGGATATCAGATTATTATGTAATCAAGGCTTTTGTCTCACCAAGTCATCCTCAGTGGCCCACCGAAGCATACTTTCTTTTTTAATGTCGCGAGGACTGATAGCAATTGCTATAGCTTCCACTGTGATGCCTGTACTGCCACTGGTCCTCGTGCCTGCCAACAGCCGCCTCTTGGACAAGAATTCTGTGGCCAGGACAGGTGCTGGCCACAGGTGCTTTAGGTGCCACCCTTGAGGTGTTCTGTTTTGCCTAAGCTCCTTTGCCTTTAGAAAAGCAATTTGGACATGGCCCCGATGTAAGGAGGTATTGCAACAGGAAGCCGTTTTTGAAAGCCAAATGGGGGTGAAGAGTCAGGAGACTGTGAGAATTGCACACGGCAGCCACCTTGGCCGGGCATTTTGGGTTTAGATCTTTAGCAGCGTGCTGCTTGTCAACCTGGTTGCACTGTTTCAGTGGGGGTAGCCTTGCGGATTCATTGGGAACACATTGCTCCAGCAGGTCATGTTGCAGGCTAACTAGGTATGTAAGGATCGCAAAGCGTAAAAGAGTCTCAGAGGTACGGTATGAATGGCTATATTGTCATTGTCGTTCGTAAGGTACGCGGTGTGAGTTGTTTGGCCCGAAACTCGGGTATCAAGGGAACCTCCATGGATCATCACGAAACCTCCATGGATCAATTTGAATCGTCCGCTACGCCCACGTGATGAAACTCCGCAGGATTTGCGTCTCCCAAACGTAGGGGAAACATTGTTTTGTTTCCTTCTAGTTACTAGAAAGCTCTATTGTTGCTAGTAGCGATGGCCTCCACCTAGTAGCTTCTAGTTACGTTGGGGGTTGCTTTGGTGCTGAGCAAATGAACATAAATGAACGGGTGCGACACGGCAACACCCGTCGAGTGGTTCAGCGATTCCGAGCACTCGTTTGGACCCCATCTGAGTGGTGTTTCACCTGACCCACCACCGGAAGATGGGGATAAGAACCACCCCTGAATCGCCTAATGAGAAGATGCACTGAATCGATTGGACTCGTATTGGACTCGATATTTGGAGTTGCTCACATCTCGGTTTGAAACTGCGGAATCTAGGTGGATTCTGGTGAGGTTGTGGTGGTTGTTCTCAGTGTTGTTTTGTTCCTTCCTTTTCTGTGACAGCCATCACAATTCGACATCCGTTCTAGGATTCTGGAACCAAAGAGCAATGAACGTCGAGCCCTGGTGGGACAACACAAGACTACCACATATAACCTCATTCATTTTTCAAAATCATAACTACTAGCCATCTGGTACCTCATTCATTCTTCAAACATCATAACTACTAACCATCTATTACCTCATCCCTTTTATTGAAATCATAACAGTCAATACATCATCACCTCATCCATTCCATACCCCAAAAAAGCAACCAAACAACGAACAACAAAACAAACCAAGCAATGAACAAAATAAAAGAAACAAAACAATAGACAACAATATAGCATAACCCCTCACCTTTAACAATCCTATCTTACAAGTCCATAATTCTAATAGATATTTTTCGAAATATGTTAGTAGTAAATGTCTTCAATAACTGTCAACTTAAAATGAAAGGCTTGTATTCCTATTATACTATCGTTATCTTGGTCTCCTTCAATAGCGGTTTTTATTTCTTCAACTGCTTTGTGTAATACTGCATCTATATTATCTTCATCTACATATTCATCAAAGTCATTCATAAAGTAAATCTCTCTATAGCTACATTCATTGTTTCCATATTCATTTTTTTTAACTCTATAATTTAAATCATCTTCTACTTCTTCATACATCACAGATAGTAATTATTCTTGTTCTTCTGTTATTGCCTTCTATACTTTTCAAACTAAATGACACTCCCCCTCTCATAATACAGTATTCAATTTTGTATATCTTTTTTCTTGATTTCACATGTCTTGTCATTTTAGGACCAAGTCTTGACATCTTATAATGCTTCACTATGTTTTATTTTCACATATTCAGGTTCTCCATGAGTATATGATACAATATTACTCAACACATTTACTGGCAAATCCTTCAATATACTAATATACTTAACTGACTAATCCACTAATATACTTAACTGACTAATCTTTAAGTAAATATTCTAAGATTAATATAAGATCTCACCGAAGGTGATCATGTCTTATTTTCGGAGCTTTGGCTCAGTGGGTGGGAGAGGCGGGATCCGTCTTTTTCGACGGGTGTCGCTTGTAGGGGGGAGTTCCGTGTTGCGAGGGCCGTCTATGCCATGGAAGAGAACGATTACGAGCCCAGCATTCCTGGGAATTCGGACGGTTCTTTCGAGCGCGTGTTTCCGCCGAGCCCCCCTGTGACAAGCGCTGCAGCTGCATCGGATGGGCCGAACTTCCCTCTTATGACAGGAGATGCTTTTCATGAGGTTGTCAAATCAGCTGCAAGAGATACTGAGCCGAAAGCGTTTGCAGTGAACTGAGGTCCAAGTTCACTCCATGCCAGTTCAGGAGCCCTCCAAGCCAGATGACTCGTGCAAACCCAAAGTGCACCATGGCCCACCTTGTCACGATACTGCTTTCCTTCGGTGTGTCAGGAAGATTGCTGACTTAGACTACTTCACTAAGCAAGAGTCTTTGAAGAAGCTTGCAGTAAACAAATTTGTGAATCTTATTTCAATGAACCCTGTGGCATTTGAACTTGGGAGAGCAATTCAATCCGAATGTAGTTTCCTGGATTTTGACAGCGAATTGAAAGAGAACTTGGAAGTTGTCTTTAGCATGAAGTCGGCTGCAACATTGAACAAACGTGCCAATTCGATTTTTCTGTTTGTGAAGGCAGTCGTCGACAGAGGAAGAGCTCCATTCCCAGTGCAAGAGTCAGAGGTAGCTCACTACTTTTTCCAGTTGAGGCGGACCGGAAACTTCACCTCGAGAGCCACATCGCTAAGAGAAGCGCTGAGGCTTTGTCATTACACTCTAGGCTTGGAAGGAGCGCTGGTCGCATGCGAAAGTGGTAGGGTGAAAGGAGCAGCAGACTCCATGTTGGCTGACAAGCGACCTTGGAACCCTGCAGACCCGTTCACAGTTGTTGAGTTAAAGATTTTTCACGAGTTGATGAGCAATGCAACAGCAACCTTATTTGACAGATTGGCAGCGGGCACTGTCCTCGCAATGACGTAAGGTCGGTGTCGTGCATCCGACCTCAATTCAATCGACGAGGTCATCATTGACTTCACTGATTGTGGAGGATACCTGGAGTTGAGAACGACGAAGCGCAAAGCAGCCAGAAAAGCTTGCTTGAAGACGAAATTGTTGCCAATCGTCATCCCTGCAATCGGAATCACTGGAAGTTTTTGGGTGAAGACTTTCATGGAGATTCGCGAAATGGCTGGACTCACGAGACATGCGCCCAAGACTCCATGGACCCCGGCTCCTATGGTCAACAATGCAGGCGCTGTCGACTGGTCTTCCAGACCTTTAGATTCAAGTGAGATCACAGACTTCATACGCTGTGTGCTCAAGCATGACGGCGCAGGAGCCAAGCAGATCTCATCCCACTCTTGCAAGGCGACCACTCTTTCTTGGCTTGCCAAGTTCGGAGTGACGCGCGAGGAGCGTGACGTCTTGGGCAGGCACGTGTCCAGCATTGAGGGCGCAGGCCCCTGTACTCAAGAGACTTGCTTTCTGCTCCACTCCGATCTCTTGACAGGGTACTGTCAATGATCCACGCTGGAACCTTCAGGCCAGACGAAGGCCGCTCGGGCATGATTGTGCGTGGCCCCAAACCTGCTGGCTATGTGTGTGTCCTCAAGAACTGTCCGCAAAGAGGAAGCGAGTCTTCAGGAGGGCCATGAGGCATACAGCCATAAGATTTCGAGGTTGGTGCATGCTTGTGAGCCTGCTGTGTATCATGGCCTGGGATACTTGTACACTCAGTGTGGTCGAAAGGTCTCAGGGAATTTCGAAAAGCTCAATGAGTTCCCTGAGCAATGTATGACATGCCTGCACTGTTTCCGAAAATAGGGCCATGAACCAGCGACCCTCTCGCTGAGCACCCTCACAGAGACCGCGCCAGCAGCGCATGAATTTGCTTTTCTTTTGATGATGAACCTGTGTCTGTTTTGACTTCAATGATCGCAAAAAAAAGGGCGAGCCTGAAGCTGAAGAGTCATGTCACTTGAACAGATCAGACCTGAAGTCTGAGTTGCACCTGAAGTGCACGCATGCATGTGGTCAAGGGTCAATGAGTGACTTGTGAGGGGTTTGCTTTTACGACAACACTTCCTGAAGAAGTGTGTGGCTCCAGCCATGACTTTGGACAGCTTTTCTTTTTTTTCCGCGCATGAGTTTCTCACGTGTCTCTCAATGTTTACCACTTGAATTTTCAGATGCACTTTGTGTTTAGTTTTTTTGTTGGATTCTTCTTGTTGAGCACAATGTTCTCAACTTTGTACTGTCAGGTGCTACAAGCCTAGGTACAACTTCTCATTCCAGCCACTCCGCTGCAATGTCGCTGCTGATAGATTCGAAAGCACAGTTTCTTAGCAGAGCAGCCGAAGTCGGAATAGGACAAGCTCTGATCGACGCGTTAGTTCGCAGTGAAATCAATATGATGTCCAAGCTTGCATACTGGGTAGGTCAACCAGGGGTGCCTTTAGATGAGGCTAAGTATGATGCAGCAGTCAGGGCAGTGCTTGGCTCAGACCCTTCAATAGGAGATTCAGCAGCGTTGAAACGCCTGATTTTTGAAGCCCAAGCAATCGCCATCCAGAGCTTGAAAAATGCTGTCGAAGCGCCTGGCACAGAGAGTTCGACCCCAAAGAAGATCCCACAGGCAGAGAAGGAGGCGCGGCTTGCAGACCTGAGAACACGAATAACTGGCATCTTGATCGAAGGTGTCAATGAACCAGCAGTGTCTTTTTTTGAGCAAACCCAGCATCAGTACGAGCAGCGGACCATTAAGTATTTGGCACCAGAGAAGTGTCCCTCCAGAGAGTTCGAGATAGTTCAAATGAAGCCCGTAAAGCAATTGATTGTTCATGGAGGAAACGTGGTGGTAGGTGAGGCTTCTTCGATGCCTGACTCGACTGTGAATTCGTCACTGCTTGTTCAACAGGCCTTCATTCGACGAGCCTTGGCGTATGAGTTCTCAGATCTGATTAGCTTCTCAGTATCCCAGAAGTACATCGATACACTGTTTCGCCACATGACCAGAGAGGCGCCCGCAGGCTATAGACAAATGAGTCTTCAGC